CATCCATGACATACACATGCACGCACACAAACACACACATACACACGTACAGGGACAGTGCGAAAGTGTGGCTCAGGAGAGTTAGTTTTACTGCCCTACTTAATTCCCATCTATTCATTGATATAGACATTTTCTCAATCATATGCAAATGCAGCTTTAAGCCACCCTCAAACCAATCACACTGCCATCCCCAAGACATTCCTTTATGGAAATTTTGGTGTCTCCCTTGGGCTTTTGTTTTGCCTGCAGGAGGGTGTCAAACGTTTTCAACTCTTATTTAGTTGTGTCTACCAAGGAGAAGAAAGCATGGTTTCCTGCCTGTTTAATCATGCCAGCTCGTACCATCAATCTGGTAGACAAGAGTGACCTTCACCGGGCGTTGGTAATTGCCAGCTACCAAGTCTCACGTGATTCATTCCATTCCCCTTCTCTACCATAATCTTTTTTCCTTAACGAAAACACACTCTACTAATAAAATATGCAAGCGTTTTGCTGTATACACTGTGGGAACCCTACTCCATTTTGCATGTGAATATATTCAGATTAATCACTCCTGAAAATGTCATTTTCACCCAGAACAATTCCTACTCTCAATTTTTTCTTCTCCGGAAATTTTCATAAACTCTAAGTGGCACTTTTCAAATGGTTTGCTATTCACATCTAAAGCTTTCCGCAGCACTAACCTACTCGGTCGGATCCTGTAGCTGAGCAACTTTGGGGTAACGCTGAAAACTTTCTCATTGCTTAGGGGTGTCTAGGAACTGATTTTGTTTTTTCTCTACAGCCACAGCGAACCTCAGAGATAATCCTCCAGCTGTCGTTTGGGTGAACAGGGTTAAGCGTTCTCTCCCAGAACACCGCTGAGCTCATCTGGGCAATCAAGCTCTCTCCAGCTGTCTTTGGGAATCTTGAAGTTCCAGGAAGAATAGAAAGAGATTGTCAGACAAATGGGTAGTCGGGACCACCGAGAGTCATGACGGCAGCAGAGATGTCACCACCATGGCACCCATGCGAGACAAGGCACCAGGACCTTCCCATGACCTCCAGGATATGGTGCCTCCAAGGGTCAGGGTTAAGGTCCTTCTTTCTTCTCCCAATCTGATTTTTTAATAATTCCTAATCAGACAACTCTTTTAACAGGGCTCAGAATGCCAACCTTCACCTGTTTATGGATCCAGTTTCAAAATGTGTGATTTGAATCCCCCAAACAAGAATCGGAGCCACTGTACAGAGATGAGGAATAACGACGTCAAAGGTAAGCAGAGATGTCCGAGTCTCCTGCACTCTGTGCCTGAAGCTCAGTGAAGTACCTAACTCTTCCAAAGTTTCCAATATCTAAATGAAATCATTTTTGCCAACGCCTCTCTGATGTTGACATGTCACTGGAACCTTCCTGTGTCTCAGAACAGTCTCATTTCCCAAGAGGTTAAGGTCTTTTCCCTCTCAAGTTCTTGGAGACAAGGGCAGCACCCGGACAGGAGGAATCCACAGGCATCTTACATGTGTCAACAACTCTGCTGCTTACTAGCTAGAGCCCACTGCCTTCTCCCCATCCCACCTTCTGCCTCAGCTCGTTTAATCTAGTCTCTGGGCTATTGCAGTGGTTCTTGTGGGGTCTCTGTGCTTCCAACACAGTAATTCTCAGGCAGTTGTTTTGTTCCCAAGGGCATCTGGCAATACCTGGAGACATTTTTGGTTGTCCAGACTGGTTGGGTACTACTCGATAGAAGCCAGGGATGCTGCTAAACATCCTACAAAGCACAAGCCAGCCCCCGACAAAGAATTATGCAGCTCAACGGTCAATAGTGCTGAGATTGAAAACCTGCTCTAGCCATACCCATCTCTAATCTGTCCTCTGCACACACACAAGAGATACAAAACACAATTCCAATCAGGTCCATGCTTGAAATCCTCCAGTGCCTTCCAACTGCCCTTGGGTTAAAGTCTAAACTCTCCAGCAATTTGGGTGAGGCCCATCATAATCTGGTCCTTCCCTAACTTTCTGCCTCACCTTTCATTCTTCCCCGACCCCTCTTCCCTGGAAGCCACACAAGCATCCAATGCAAGTTGATTAGACCACCCACAACTCCCTCTGCCTGTCAGTCTCATCCATTCATTCCTGTGCCCCCAACTTTATGCCATATACTCTGATAAGACTGAAAGGGAACAAGAGGCTCTCCAGGCAGCTTGAGGCACTAATACCTCGTGAGGCACACAGAAAAGTCAGCATGCAACCCAATCAGCAGAGGTAGAACCTACTCTTCACCTCTGTGATCCCACTGCTGTCTCCCCAACAGGCTGTGAGTCTCCAGGGAAAAGAGAGTATCTTCATCTTCATAGGGCCACAGCAACTTTCACAGCTAAGTATCGTCTACTTAGTTGTATACCACATCTTTGCCAGAGCTGTTGTATTAAGGAAGGAGTGAAATTCTAATTTCTTCAATTTGGCTCTTGCCCAGACATAAAAAGTTGCAATATCAAAATACAAGGGTGAAACTAAATTCATCACACTGCATCTGCCCATCCCCCAAAGTGGAGACATCTCTGTTGAAAGCTGTATTCTCTGCCTCTCTTCTCTTCATATGTCAGAGACATATAGATCTATTAAATAATCTATTTATCCCTATAGAATGTTTAAATCCCATTACCTGATACTCAAAGACAAGACACATGAAGCAGAATTTGACTCTAAAATAGTAACTGAGATATAAGGGTATCAAGAACGTAGCTATGTTGACTGTGGGAATCATAACTTTGAATTTCACGGTACCTAAGAAGATTGTGCTCTCTTTTCTAGACTGGGAAGTTCTTTCTATATACAGGGCATTTAACAATACTGTCCTTTCTACTTCTCTTCCTTTTAAATTGATTCTATATCCTGCAAGTTGCTATGATTTGCCTGAGTTTCAAAACCCACAAAGATGTTCCATAAGGGGACAGTTCTCCCAGAAAAGAGAATTTTATTAGATAGTTATAGAGCTATTTTGGACATTTAAACAGAGAAACCTATCAGTTTGACTTTACAGCTGGTGAAAGAATTAAAGATCCATATTTTAAATAACTGGAAAAGTTGAAAATGTAGCTCATGGATTCCTATCATATATTATGGAAATTTTAATTTTTATTGCAGTCAATTATAATGCATAAGTCTCTTGTCCACACAGCTGTCATGTTAATGACAAGGTTAGTATTTAGAAATGGAACCTCATTATAGAAAATGGAGCAAAACAGAAGTTTCTATTAATTGAATGCAATGAAGGGTCCGGGGAAAGCTTGTCCAGGGAAAGCTTGCCCAGGCTCCCCTTCACATCTAGGGTGCTCACAAGGCATCAGTGGCCTGGCTTCCATGTTCCCTATGGTAACTGGTCTTCCGAGCTTTATTCCCATCTAGGCTTCCATCTCTGCAGACAAGGCAAAGTCACAATCCCAGGCTTGGGTTATCTATTTTCCCCTCCTCTTCTCCATTAGCCATATCCTCCCCTTCATTCAAACTTGGGTTAATTCTGACCTCCAGAAAAAATGATTTCCACTCAAACCAGCTTCCAGACATATGGGAGGATGCCCAGAAAATCACTAGTGATCAGAAACAAAAGCTGCTCTCATTGCACTTTGAGGAACATATGAAAACAGAGAAGGTGCTGAAAAATGTAGACAAGCAACATGGACCCAGGGACCCCTGGGCTAAGAAATTTAATTTAGCATGGAGCTTACGGAGTTGGTTGTTGAGACAGAGCATAAAGGCGATTATAACAAGATCGTTCTCGTTATCATCATCCTGTGGCTGAGCTGGGGATAAAGGTGTCTCCTGAGACCCCATCCTTCGTATCGTGCACATTTTCCTTCCACCCATAAAATTTATGGCATCCCATTGCCCAGTCATCCTTCCAACCATTAAAGTTTCTTTTCAGGGAAAGATCTACTAAAACCCCTTATGCTTCAGTGTGAATCAGCTGCTGCGAACTCTCCCAAGGATATGTGCATCCCAAGCCATATCTTATTATGGGCTGAAGAGTTTTCCCCTATGGAAGGGATTCTTGACTTAAAGCTGCAGGTAAAGGTGATCTCTCGGGGACACAGTGACCCGCCTTCTTGAAACTGCCCAGTATCCAGATTTTAAATGATGAAACTAAAATCACATAAATTTAAGGAAAGCATGTTGCGTTTGGGTTCAAGGTTCCAATAATTGTATTTTATGTGAATTTTTAAAAATTTACTTTGAAATTAAGGAGACTGATATTTGCCTCACCAGGTATATGCGGTAGGCAGTGTGGTAAGATTCTTCCCTGAAGGAAAGCCCTTAAAAGCAAAAAAAGAAGCCTAGAAGCACACATATTATAGCCTTTACAAATATAACAACTTTGGGGCTGAAATGGACCGTATATATTTTAGTTTGTATCAAAACTGTCAGACAAGGCCCTGTGGAAAAGGGAATTCTTATTAAGGGACACAGAAATAGTGAGGCAGAAAGGGGATGACCAGTGTAGAGATATTTGTGGAGAATTCGTTACAACCACTAATTTAATTGTGATTATAGTCAAAAACATCACCATCTAATAGAATTTTCTGTAATGATGGGAATGTTCTTGGTCTGAGCTGTCCAAGATGGTAGCCATTAGCCACATGTGGCTGTTGAGCATTGGAAATCTAGCTAATGTGGCTGAGGAGCTGAATTTTTAATTTTAATTAACTTAAAATTAATTTTAAATAGCTACACATGGCTAATGGCTACCATATTGGATAGTATGGGTCTAACACCACTACTGCTTTAACTTGTAATTTTAGGAACGCTCTGTACCAGTGAACTCTCTCCAGGAGAAACTGATAGAACTCTCAATATAATGCAGTCTTCCAGCTCTGAAGAGTTTATTTACTAAAAACACAGTTTATGACTCACTCTGACCTCCACCCCAACCCATTACCCAAGGTACCCAGGGTTGGTGCCTCCCTCATTCCCCCAGGGTAAGCCTGCAATGCCAGGCTCTGGAAGGAAGTGTACTTACCCTCACCCAGTGGAAGTTCCTCTTCCTGCTCGCTGGGGGACGGCCGCAGGGGCTGCAGGGGCTCCATGTTAATGATGAGCTGTTTGTTCAAGGAGTGGGAACTGCGGCTCTGAGTAATGTTGGTTCTGAAAACAGACACAAGCCGGAGGGAACTGGTTTCAACTGGGAACGCCGGCCCTTCCATCTCAGTTGGCTACCCAAGCTGGGAACTGCCCCTAGACTCACACAGTGCATTAGGCCAGTGGTAAAGATGACATAGCACTTAAGACACACAGCCCTTGTTATCCTTAAGGTCTTGATACGTGGTATAATGTCCATGTGTTCTAATGCAACACAGTGAAAGAAAACGTATTTCTCCACATGTCATCAGACTTGGACATGCTATGTGACAAGACAAGGCATTGAGAAAAGACGTGGGCAACAAAGATACACAAGAGGCAGGTATCACTGAACTACATATGCAGAAAAGTGAATGAAGGGCATGGCTCAAAGTAATTTAACAACCACCAAACAAACACAAAAACAAAAAAACTCTTCCAGGCAGATGTCACAGGCTTTCCATAGCCATGAGCTGGATGTCCAACATTTAATATCGATGCTTAATATTCCCATTCAAATTCACACCCCACTCACGAACCACACACAGAACCCAGCTCCAGTTTCTCCTTTTGAAAGGAGCACACGTATGTCAGTAGCTCAATGGGCAGTAGATGGCAAGGAAAGGTGTCTCGTCAAGGCTACTGGCTGATAGCCAGGAAGCCCATTTACACTGTCTGCCCTGACCGACAGGGACGTGGGGTACCTCTGGTGGGTGTTTCAGCACCCTTCCCATCCCCATGTCTCCTGTCAAAACCCAAACCAACCCATCCTTCAAAGATGATGTCAAATGTCTCCTTCTTCTTGAAGCCCTCCTGGATTGCCTTCACGACGAACTCTCTCTCCCCCTTCCTTCTCACACTACTGTCCCTTCTTTCACAACCCGTCACATTTGTCACCTCTATCGCCCTGTAATTATTGGGGTACTAATCAGCCCCACCTTGATAAAGCAACTTAAGGCAGAGACTGACCTATCCATTCTCATGTGCCTTATAGCACCTCCCTTGGCATCTTGTTAAGGGGTGTTCAGTTTGAAACTGAAGTAAACTTGGCATTAAGTTGCCATTTCAGACTGTCACAGGTGTTCTCCAGGCCAGTTGACGGGACTGCCTTACAGCCCAGGCATTTCTGTTGGGCATAGGAGCTGGACAGGGAAGAAGCTGTTAGCATCTAGAGTTAAAAGCCACCCCCCCCACCACCACCTGCCACTGACTGGAAAGGAAATTTATAAGGACTTGCTTAACCATGGAGTTCTTTTCTTCGTTATTTCATTCTACAACCATTTATTTTGCAGCTGGTATGTATGTATTGTTCTGGCAAATCATGGTCCTCACCTTAAATAACTTACTCTCTAGAACCATGACTTTCAAACTTTTTTGACCAAGACTCACATTAGAAACTACATTTGGTATCATATCTCTGTACACACACACACACACACACACACACACACACACCCGCAAGAGCACACACAGCTAAAGAGAATGTTTCACGCAACAATAGTAACTCTTGCTATGTGTGAGCCACTATGTTTTACTTTCTATTCTATTTAATGTCATTTAAAGTGCTGGTCTTGACCATTATTTTCACTTCATGACTCATTAATGTGCTACAGCCACAGCTGGAAAAGCACACATCTCATGGAAGAAACTGACGGACGGCCGAGGTCCCAGGGGAGCACCAGAGAGGGGCATGTGATCCTGCTGTGAGTGAGGGGAGAGCCAGGAAAGACCTCCCTGGGAAGGTGATGTCAGCGGTAAGTCCTGGCAGGGGTGGTGGGTTTACAGGGAAAGAAGTGGAGGTGGGGATTCCTTGCAGGGGGAAGAAAGGAAGGAAGGAATAACAAGGGGGGATTAAAATTCACCATGAGCAATGACTTCTTTTATTGTGAAGGGTTCTCATTTTTTTGAGCTTTTCATGGGATTTCCATTAGCCCTGTGGCCTTCATGACTGTGATCCCAGTTCTGCAAAGCACATGTTGCCATGTCTGTGTGGACTATGTCGTTTTCTGACCTCTGAAAAGCTCATCTTCCATTCTTGTACAAACCAGCTCTGAATCACCCATCTCTGACCATCCATGCCAGCTGACCTGGCAGCAGTTCCCCTCCTCCAGAAATTACTACTTATATCACAACAGGGAGGGACCCTTAGCGAGTCTTTATGGAGGCTCTTTTGCTCCCTGTCAGGTGAGGGTCCGGGCTGTGTTCCCCCGCTCTCAGAGTCCAGGCACCAGCCGACTCAGCCAAAATGCCTGACCTGCTTTGCAGCCCACTCACGTGCACTCCTGGCATAGAACAGTTTCTGAGTGAAACTGCCTTTAAGGATTCTACTGAGTAGAAAGGTTTCCTTCGGCAACTGCAGGTATATTCTAAGACTGGCTTCAAGAAATGGTGGCATAAAATCGAGCAACAAATACGAGGCTAGTGGAGTTACTGCAACCACTCCTTGGAATGAAAGGAAGTGCTGCTGGCCTGTGAGTAAAAACTCCATCTGAAGAGACTTCAATGTGAACATGTCTGTCAGGTTCTAGCTTCCCATTTTTGGATGAGAGATAATAATAATAATATCACCACCTCACATTTTTACGGTACTTTATAATTTTAATACCCTTTATTTTAACGGCCATAACAAAACCTAGAAGTCAGGGAAAGATATAAGAATCTCATTCTATAGATGAATAAACCGATGATCCGAGAAGTTAAGTGACTTACGCAAGACCGAGCAACACAGCCAAGGTTAGACCCATTCATGACTCCTAGGTGGGTGCTCATTTCAGGTACAAGTGCTGTTTCTGGGTATCCCTTGGTGGTGGCTCTATGCCCAGGAGGCTTAAAGAGCCGACCCTGAACTCTCAGAGCTACAGCCCTCCGCCTCACTGGGCCTTGGAATGGGCAGGTGATTCTCACCAAGTAGCCAGCTGATAGGGTTTCACTTGGGGACCCTGCCATCAGCAAAGTTCAATGAGCTAACATGAGAGTGAGCTTCTTCCCTTTTTGCAAAAAAGAAAAACCCCATGACAGTGTTCTTAGCCTGTGTGTGTTTCTCTGTGTCACACACATCTCAGCAGGAGTAGGAGTCCATGAACTGGCTATTCTTTGACGAGGAGAATCTCGAGTGAGAGGAAAGATAACTGAAGTCTTAGCATCACCATTCTGGCCTAGCAGGCCTCTCTGAGCACTGCCAGATAAAGAGAGCTCATTGCTATACTCTCACTTTTGACAGCCACATCAAAGAAGTCAAAACAATTCGAAAATACAATAATTGTGTAAGAGAAACATTTCCTACCATGCAACCAGCTACTGGGAAGGAACAAGAAGTTGCTACTGAAAGTGGCAAACATCACTGTGGCTCTCACCACAGTGCTGCCTCTTGGGAGGGCGAGGTCCCCAGGGCAGCACCACGGACAGATCTCAAGTCTCAGAAAATTACACAAGTGAAGCTGTCATCTCACACGCCTAGCGCATACATTCATTCAGCAAATATCTACTGACCTCCTACTATAGCCAAGCACTGTGTTAACAGTTACTGATGGGTAAGATGGAGATAACCAAGATAGGCACAAGCTCTGTCCTCCCAGAGCTTACTCTGTATTACTACTTTAAACAGATTCTTCCTTGTAATGTCAGAGATTTGAGAGATACTGCCAAAGAACTGAGGACCAGAGAGGCATCCAGAGGATGTGAACTCAATAGGCTTTCACAAACAGGTAAAAGCAGGTAGTGGAAGAGCAAGAAAGAACATGTGAACCGGTGTCGAAAGGGCCTATAGAGCCTTGTTTGCAGTAATATCCTGGGAGATTTTAGAAAATTCCAGAAAAGAAAAACTATAAATTGATGGATGCTTCATTTCCCACCCGCTCTGGTGGTTCAGTCCACTCCAGGAAAAGCTTTTCACTAGGGCCAGTCTGCTCCCTTCAACCCCTCCCCCAGCAGTTATCTAGAGCCTGGCTATTCAAGGTGCAAACCATGAACTAGCCACATGGCCATCATCTGGGAGAGCACTAGAAATGCCAGATTCATGAATCAGGATCTGATTTTAACAGGATCCCCAGGTGATCCCTGTTCAAGCTACAGTTTGAGAAGCCTTGACCTAGGAAGCCTTAATTCCCATAAATTGTGCAGACATAAATTTAAAAGAGAAGTATTTAAAAAAATTCTTCTCTGACCTCATTAACCATCATCCATCGATGGTAACTATGGGCTTTTGGAAAGCTCTGCATATTTGGAATATGTCTCTCTGAAAGTATACTGGTTTTTTTTTTTTTTTTTTTTTTGGCGGTACATGGCCCTCTCACTGTTGTGGCCTCTCCCGTTGTGGAGCACAGGCTCCAGACACGCAGGCCCAGCGGCCATGGCTCATGGGCCCAGCCGCTCCGTGGCATGTGGGATCCTCCTGGACCGGGGCACGAACCCGTGTCCCCTGCATCGGCAGGCGGACTCTCAACCACTGCGCCACCAGGGAAGCCCCCTGAAAGTATATTGTTAAAAACATTTTCCTACTTTGTGTTTGTGCCATCAAGGGGACTCCCCAGAATCGAGTATTTCTTTTTATTTTAAGATCAAACACTCAAGCTTCAAGCTGGAAGAATAAAACCAAGCTGAGCCCCTGGGGTAGGTCTGCCCCCCAGCTTCTAGGAGAATGCAGAGGCTTTCAGGGTGGCAGATGCAACAGAGAAAAGAGGATATAGGACTCAGGAGCAGGACGCTGGAGTTCTAGGCTTAGTTCTGCCACCAAAATATTTATGACCTCAGATAAATCATTTAACTTCTCTGAGACTCAAGTTCCCTTATCTGTAAAATAGAATCATTAAACTGAGTGATCCCTGAGGTCATTCTAGACCAAAGATTCTGGAAACATTTAAATGATATGTTCAATTCTTTCTTCTTTCTTGTTTCTGCTGCACTAAGTAACCACAATTTGAGGCAGAGGAGGGGTTATAAAAAGACTATTAAAAAATGACTATTGTCATCAACAGGTAGTAAAAGCTCTAAGACTTTCACAGGTATTGCACCAAGGTGTCCCAGCCAAGGCGATCCAAATTCCCTGGCCCACAGTTTTCTCCTGCTTCTCAAAGCAGACTTGTATGTGACAGCTTTCCACTGGGTCACCCAAAGCCGGGGATGAATTATTCTCTGTCATCTGCACAAGATTCCATGCTGCCTGAAGTCCCGCTCCACCGTCTGGATGCCCACACTGGCTGGCTTAGCTACACTTCTGAGAGACCATGGCCTCCTCCTGCCTGACAGCCCCCAAGGACAAGGTGAGAGGTACCCTGTTCACTGGGTCACCTTGGAGATAGAGGAGACTGGGCATATCTGAGCATAGGAAGACTCCAAGTTCAAAGATGGGGAAGGAAGGACCGGGGCCCACCACTGTGTGGGAACTTCCTAAAGAATATATTTTATGATGATCTTGCCTTCAGAAGGGGGAACATCAGGATAAGAATGTTCTGCTTTAGATATTTAGCATGTTTGAAGTTTAAGATGTACAATGTAAACTGTGGTGGGAAGAAGTACAACGTGATCAAGAGAACATTTAATTCCTAAGAATTACACATATTGCCATGTTAATGTAGAAGCGTACCCTTGACCCACTAATGACTAAGTTCGTCATTCCTCTAAGTGGCTTCTGGGACTAAAGGGTCCAATGAGAGATGAGTACACCACCCCCTCGTGTGAAATCGCCTAGAAGGAGTTGGGCCAATGGGAACTGGCCACGTCTGATGAACAGAGGCCGGAAGAGGGAGCAGTTCTGAGGACACGACAATGGACTCAGCCAGGAGATAACCCAGCCACCCGTGCCTCACACACTTCCTGCTTGTTCACGTGACCCTCCAGGCTGAATCAGGGCAGTGACTCCACACACAGCAAGTAACTCAGAATGGAGCCCAGCCAAATCTGTCTGAGCGAGATACGGGGGATGGTGAGAGTGCCATCAGGGCACTGGATCAGGGCCTGAAAACGGCACAGGGCCAGGCAGCTGGTGTCCTTACTCTCCTTGTTAGAGTGGATTTGGTGAAGCCAGCTTTTCAATCCTTCTGTCCACCCCAGAAATCTCCCGGTGCCCTGGGGACCACCCCCACTCACCTGTGCACCTCGGGAGGCTCCCTCTGGATTTTGGAGCTTGCTTCCACCACCTCTTTGGCAACTTTGCCGCTGCAAAAGATAGAGACACAGTGTCCGTGCACAGACAGCCAGAGTGGAGGGGGAGGGGTGCGCACACTTTTTTTTGTTCTTTGTTTTACCTCCCAGTGGTCTGCCCCAGCTCTAGGAATCCGTGCCTTCTCCTCCTCTACGAGGGAACATTACTATAGAGTTTAAGGGGTCCTGTGGGCATAAGAAATGAGTGGAGTGGAAAGGGAGGACCCAAACGGGTACAGGCCAAAGTGCACTGATTTATAAGTACCATACTCCAAGGCAAATGGCTGCCCCAACCCAGCCCCATCATCGAAATGGAAGCGTGGGTACCCACCTATATCGAAATCTGCTTCCTTTAAAAAATATCTTGCTGCTTGACACAGTTTTGATCTGACTGGATTTTGCATACCTGTAGGAGAAAGCAGAGAAGAGGTGGCAGTGACACTGGAAAGTCCAAGCAGAACATGCCATACAGTGTGGTAATCGGATATTTTGACCACCAAGAAAGAAATACATTTTACTGTATGACTCAGCGCACGCGCGCGCGCACACGCACACACACACACACACACACACACACACACACACACACCTGAAAGAAAAGTTACTTTCACCATGAGTATTGCAATCTGATTTTTTCTATGCGATCTTTTCTCCTTTTATATGCTGCTGATGACCCACACATTTGGTCTCGTAATCTATTACTGGGTCACGACCTGCAAAAAGGACCAGGTAATATTGATGATCAGAGGAATTCTTTCCCAGTTTCTGCTTGAGCGATATGGAGAGGGTAGGCTGGGTCACAGGGCATCATTAAATTCCTTGCTGGACGGACCTTCTTGCCTGTACCTGTACCAGCGCTGAAGCAGAAAACAGCTTCCTGGTGATGCAGGTCACTCACCGTGTCACCCAGAACCCACCTATTGTGTATTTTCTATGAGATGGCACCAGGGGCCCATGTCACCATGGAAACGGTCACTGGCTTCTGAGTATTAAGAAGGGTTAAGGGCTTCCCTGGTGGCACAGTGGTTGAGAGTCCGCCTGCCGATGCAGGGGACACGGGTTCGTGCCCCAGTCTGGGAAGATCCCACATGCCGCGTCACTTACTGTGATGGTATATAAACCAGAAAAAGTGCTGACTATCTTGTTCCATTTTCTCCCAAGGAACACATGCTCACCCAGGATTAGGTAGATCAGTGGGGTCAGGCAATCTCATTGTTGAGAGAGCCCTGAACAAAAGGCTCCATAAACCCAGTTTCATAAGCCCAGGGCCAGAAGGGAGAAAAAGGGTTAGGGATGGAAAAGTACTAGGCAGTGAGTCAGAGTGGGAAAAAAGTATCTTCCACTTTCTCCCCTCCTTCCCAATAAGGAGTCCTTGGCAGAGGCACCTGAATGCTTCAGGTAAAGAGACCTAGGAATGAAGGCATGAGGCTAGTAGTGCAAACACGTGAAGAGCATGACCAGCCAGAAGAGCCTGAGTCCTAGACTGTAACTCCCCTTGGAGACTGCGATGAACTGGCTGGGCCTCAAGTCTGGTGTGAGGAGGGCAGATTTCCCCCTTGAAGCTTGCCAAGTAAAGCCTTTGCAATAGCCTATACTTGGGCATGAAAAAACAAATCACAGATTGGTTTTTAACCAAAACCTTATCTCCTCAAACACATAAAGCAGTAGGAATATGGGTAACTTAAAAACAAAACAAAAGCTAAACTAATATATTCAATAAAATGAAATTCTCTACAACAATTAAAATTGAACTATAACTGCATGTATAAAAACAGATTTCTAGGACATAATTTTTGAGAGTAAAAACAAATTGTACAAATATGGACAGTATGATGTCATATGTGTAAATTCAAAATTATAAAACACACATATTTAATGAAGGGAGGGAGGGAGACAAAGAGGGAAGAGATATGGGAACATATGTATATGTATAACTGATTCACTCTGTTATAAAGCAGAAACTAACACACCATTGTAAAGCAATTATACCCCAATAAAGATGTTAAAAAAAAAAAAAGAACCCTGCTGGGACTTCCCTGGTGGTCCAGTGGTTAGGACTCCGCGCTTCCACTGCATGGGGTGTGGGTTTGATCCCTGGTCAGGGAACTAGATTCCCGTATGCTGTGCCGCATGGCCAAAAAGAACCCGTGTTGGTCGATGACTAAGAAATACAAGGAACAGAGGCCCAGCCAAGCACTGATTCAGCACCTCTGAGCCCTTCCCGTAAATAAGAACAAAACAAAAAAACTCTGAAAAAAAATCTAGAACGTGGACTGCCCAGAAGCTGCGCACAGGGCACTTAATTCCTGTGCTAAGCTCAGGAAGACACAGACTTTGCATTTGTGGAATGTAAGGCCCAGAGGGCCTAGATATTCATCTAGAAACCCCCATAAATTAGTGAACAGATGTAAATTACATGCTGTGGTGCACGTATGAAGGAAAAGATGCAATGAAAGTGTTGGGGCGAAAGTGGTACCGATCTGGTCTGGGGGCCACAGAAGGTGCCCTGAGGAAGGGACCTTTGAGCTGAGATCCAGGCGAGGGAAGGTGTTAACAGGGCGGGTGGTGGCAGTGTTCTAGGCAGAAAGCCCAGCAGGCAAAAGCTCTGAGCCTGAGCACTGGAGAACTAAGAAGATGATCTGACATGCATTTCCTGTTATTGTTATTATGGTTGTTTTACACACATTGGCTCACACGTTTTCCCCCCTAATGTAGCAGGACTTGACCTTGTTAAAGATTTGGTCTTTGTCGTCAGAACAATGGAAAGCCACAGAAACACTCTTGCAAACTGCCTGAACCCACAGAGAAGGGCCCTAGCTACAAAGGATAAATCTAGAGAGCAAGTTGGGCAGGGGAAGGGCACAAGCCCAGGGAAGGGGATTCCTGTCAAGGCAGGGCCCAGAGAAGACAATGTGGGAGCCCTAAGGACGAGCAGAGCACATGAAATCCACACCCCGGAGGGGGTCTGGACACCTCGGACAGACTGCTAGCCAAAGCCAGGTTATAGACCATACCCAGTCAAGAGGAGAAAATGGCCCAGCAAGCCTGGCTAATGTGGGGCAGCATCCACTGTGCCTCGTCCTCTGAGGATGTGCCTGCTCTGGGCCTGTCTGCTCCCCCCACCTCCAACCTTAGCCCTAGAGAGCCATGGGCCTGACACATTTTCCGTCACCGGATGCCTCTCCCCATCTTCTCAGCAGGGTTGTTGCTCCCACGTACTCAGAGATGGAGGGTGGAGAAACATTCTAAAGCAGCTTCTGCTTTTTTTATTGTTTTGCTGTTATTGTTCTAGGTTCCTAAGGATCCTCGGGGCAAGGAAGTCTGCTAAAAAGATTACTAAGAGTCTTTTTGTTTGTTTGTTTTTGTCTTTCTTATTTTTTTCTTATTAGTCATCCATTTTATACACATCAGTATATACATGTCAATCCCAATCATCCAATTCATCACACCGAAAGAGTCTTAATTACAGTTTTTGAAATTCAGACTCAACTCTGTGCCCATTTTATGGAAGATGCCAGAAGCTCAAAGGGGTGTGGACAGCAAAGCAATTCCGGTGACAGGGGGCTCTTCTGGGGAGCAGTGGGCGGCTCTATCTCTCACAGGTTCAGCCTCAGCTCCTGCCCTTCCAAGTCCCGTGTGGAGGCCACTGTCTTCTCCTTATACCCAGAACAGCCCCTTGGCGGGTGGCCTCAGTGCTCCACTGCATCCACACAAACCCAGAGTGCCTCAAGAAAAACAGGTCAGAAGGCACTTTGTGCAGAGAAAGTGAATAGCTGTCTGCTCAGGATGAGAGGACTGATAAAAGCGTTGGCTTCTTCCTGGCAGCTGAGTGCCCTTGATGATTATTTGCATGATTTCGTTTGCTCATAGACACTCTACCGAGAGCATTACCACCAAACCCACACCCTCCCAAATGTCCAGGAAGACGCCCGATAATGTTTGGGCTGAGATATTTAATGGAATTTTAACAGGGGAATTTATTCTGAGAGCTTGAACCCCACAAACCCCCTGGGAATTGAGAAACAGACAGTAGGATGGAAGGAAGTGCATGGGGGCAAGAGAAAGGTGGCTGGCTCACAGGACATGCACCTAGCCATCCTTCCAAACCTGGCTGTGCATCGGCTGCCCCTGGAGTAGGGGTTAAGAACACCAGCTCTCAGGTTGCATCACTACAGATTCTCATAAAGCAGGTCTGGAGAGGGGTCTGGGAGTTTGTATTTTTATCAAACACTCCAAGGTCATTCCAAGGCAGCCTACTTGCACTGGAGAAACTGAGTCCCCATATTCTCCTTGAATGACCCCCAGGTGGCATTCTACCTGAAGAAACAAGGGGCCAGGTTCTTCCCTGCTTTTGATCCTGTGACCTTGGTCAAGTCATGTTGCTTCTCTGAGCCTTAGTTTCTCTATAAATTTTTTAAAGGGTAAGGGTATTATGATACCTAATTCATAGTGTTCTGAGGAGAGTTAAATGAGATTAAATGATTTGAAAACACTTAGAGTACTACCTGCTCATTATATAATACTTTCCCTCCCTCTCTCCCTTTCACCCACCCCCATTATCGCTCTCCAGACCTCTGTATTGCCTTCTCACGATTGAGCTACCAAAGCCAATCCTCTAAGCCACGACCAATCCCGGGAACCGTGTCAAACACTCTGAAGGCCAATAAAAGAGCCTTTAAACTCTAGCTCTAGCTGACCTGTTCCAGCTCTCTGTTCCCAGGCTCTCCCATCAACGAGCCCAGAACAAAAGTCTTCCTCCCAACCAAGGCAATCAAGGCACAACCTAGTGAAAACAGCAATTCTCTCTCCTCCGACCTTCTTCCAGGCCTGCCCTCTCCCCCATTCCACCTCCAACTCCCCATCAAACTTCCAGCACAGAAGCATTGACTATTCTCAAACATCTGACCTCACAGAAAAATCCAGTCCCCAGTTGACCAGCACATGACTTGGCAACACCTGTGTATTCACACGGTGGCTTCATCACTGCTTTCCTTTCTGCTGTCACAGCTCTCCACCACCCCCACCCCAGAACTGCCAGGGCAGAGCCACTGTACCCAGAGACCACTGTACCCTTCCATGGCACTAGGGAGTTGTGCCCACTCCTGACGCTGAAGGTGTGTTTTAAATGGGGTAATGTATGTGAGGTGTGCACACATGCGGACAGTGCCTGGAACCGGCAAAGTGTTCTCTGAGTGTCAGTATCATCCGATGCACACACAGCACAGCTCTGCAGGAACACGCCTCCACTCACCCCTGCCTCTAGCTTCTCTCCTCTGGTACCTGCTACTACAGGGGCTGGGGGTGGAGGTCAGCACACTGGGTGGTGCTCTAAAGGCCGCCTCTAGAACTAACAATACAACTTCCCTTTTTTCCATGGTTCACAGCTTCTGGAGTAATCAGAGCAAT